GGGAAGCAGGATTTTGAGGTTTGGCGTCTTGGGGCCAGCAAATTCTTGTAGCACTTAAGCCCGAAGTCAACAACATTCAAACCAACATAGCTTATAGGGAACTCCAGAAAGTTGGAATATGGTTTCAGGGTAGGATACCTTATAATTTACCATAAAGGGCTTCGGATAATCATATTCCAACTTTCTGGCTTTTACTTTAACCCGGCTTAACCCTATTCGGACGAGTTTCGATGGACCTTCATACACACGGGGTATCTGGGCGATAGCGATCTATATAAATCTTAAGCTCCTCAACTCGTAGGGAGCACGCGCCTAAATTTATCTCTTTGCGCATGGGTCGATGAGAATGGCCTTCATGTAGAGATGGTTCCAAAATGCCTGCAGGGAGCAAAAACAAAAGCGTCCCACACTTAATCATGGTGATCGGACAAAGGTGAGGACCTTCCAATTGACATTTCTGGCAGCACCGTCACAGCATCTTCCTGAGCTTTGTTTCGTATCTGCAAGTTTTGAGTCGTCCGCCTTGAGCTCCATGGCACGTCTTGCAAGACAACAATCCGTGCATAGTCTCGCATGGGTTTAAGAGTTTAGGGTTTAGACACTGCTTGCATCAGCAAGCCAAAGAGAACACACCGGATCCCGAACCACCGAAATGTTTCAATAGCCCTAAACTAGCTCTATGGGCGAAAAGACCCTATGTGGACAGACTTCGACCCAACAACCTTACCGTATAACCGTGTATAAGCGTGAACCAGCCTGTTAACTATAAACTGCATGTGGGAGTTTCCGAAAATACGGGACCCTAATATAGTGCCCTAAATAATAGGATCCTTATTATAAGGACCCCCAAAATAAGGTGCCCCTTTTTTTCGGAAACTCCCATGTCGCTAAGCCTCTATTCAGACATTGAGCCCTCTGAGTTTCGGTTTTGTTGAAACTAAAGCCTTACCTGGACCCTAAGGAACCTACCTTGTTAGGGCTCCCTAATATGATTTCCTTATATAAGTCCTTAGAAAGGTAGGTTACTTGGGGTTAAGGTTTGATCCTACCCCTTAAAGTAAACCGCTCAAACCGGTAGCCTCCCAGCAGACGGAGCCGTCGAATTTGCAGTCACTGTGCCCGAAATCTCCCGACCACCAAAAAAGCACCGGTAGCATTTTGGGAAGGTAGACATGAAACAGCTTCCTGCGCCTTCCCAGAAACTCCTACATACCTGGTTCAGAAGCCCGGCAAAATGTTGAGGCCCTTTACATAGCTGTTGTCTCTACCCGTTGACGCTACCATAGAAACCGCAATTTATACTATATTGCTTAGGGCCATTTGCATACCCTAAGTTCTCACACCGCAGCCAAGCATCTGAACATTGACCCTGTCGCGTCTAATTGTGCTCCTTTGAGGGTCCATGTGCCCATGTAGTATACCTTATCGCGTTAATCCATGCATGCAGAAGGCCCTAAGCCCGAACTAGTATCTAATCTATACTGTAAACCCTAAATAGACCCTTGTCGTATACCTCAAGCCCTAAACCGCTGCAGTCAAACATTACATCTCTCTCTCTCTCTCTCTCTCTCTCTCTCTCTCTCTCTCTCTCTCTCTCTCTCTCTCTCTATATATATATACACACGTACATATACACACACAGAGTCATGCTGCGGCAGCAAAGAACCCTCAAAGGCCAGCAACCATTGGCAGGAAGCTTCAACTCAAGCACAATACGACTGATGTTAAAGTTCATGAAGTATTACTTTTGTGCTACACATGCGTATACATATACTTGTACATGTACATATACATATACATATGCATATGCGTATTCATGTGTATATATATATATATATGTAATGTATACATGTATTACATTTCCAGATGTATATAAGCATATGTATGAGTGTACATCTGTATATATATATATATATATATGTATATATATATATATATATATATGTGTGTGTGTGTGCATACATATATATATATATATGTATATATACACACGCATACATGTGCATACATACTGCTGATGATATAAATCTTGCATGACCCATAATAAGGAACATACAATTATTTCCATATACTCCTTGTTATGGGTCACGCAGGATTTGCATCATCAACCGTATGTCTGCATGTGTATGTATGCATGTATGTATTTATGTATGCATGTGCGTGTGCATGTATGCATGTTACTTTACACACACAATGAAGTATAACTACATATACATACACATATACATCTACAGGTAAAGGTTCATATGCACATATACAATTACATCTGCATATTCATATACATAAGTACATATACGATTTATGGTATACATATGCATGTACAGACACGCATAAGTTGTTTTAATTTTTGTATGTGTGTGTAAAGACATCCGGCTACTACGTAAATACATAGACAGATAAATCGAATAGATAGATAGACAGTTCTCTAATGTATAAACATTCACATGTACAGTATTAGGTTCTGACCCCTTCACCATACGGCTCAAAGGTCTGGGGATCCCTAGGTATGAACGAAAGCCTGAGCCCACGTACGTATCCGTGAAGCTCGGTAGGTCTGCCCAGCGCACAGCTCGTCCAGGCACATTTTTTTGTCCTTGTGGTTGCGGTTTCATGTTGGGTTTAGTGTTTTGAAACATCTAATGGTGTCAGGACTTAGGGATAAGGGTTTAGATCTCAGCATGAGATGGGTTTGGTTCAGGTTCTGGGACAAATTAGGGTTCAGGGATAGGTGCACCTCGCAATTAGGAACTAGGGAGAAGAGCATCAGGGTTTTGGGTTTTCTCGTTGTAGAGTTAGGGCTTAAGCCGGGTTCCTCCGAAAGGTTCCTGAAAAGGCTGCTAAAAGGGTTGGCATGGGATTGTTTCATGTTGCATGATAAGCTGAAGCTACAGGGTGTATGTGCCATGGACTTTCGGGTTTGTGGTTTAGGGTTTATGGTTTCGGCTCAAACCCTAACCCTAAACCCTAAACCCCTAAACCCTAAAGGGTTCAGATTTTCTGCCATTTTGCGCTGATCATCTGGGCCACTGCGATGTCTAGAAACCCGAGGGCTCCATGTACCCATAGAGGGTTCCTTTAGGGGTTAGGGTTTAGGGGTTAGGGTTCCTTTAAGGTCTACCATAAGGGTACTAGAAGGGTTCTACAGGGTTTAAGGCTCCATGTACCCATATAATTTGTTTTTTAGGCCCTAAAAGTACCTGTATAGGCATCCCTTTAAGGTTTAAATATCTAAACCGGGGGGCCGACTGCAGAAGTCCGAGATTTTCCAAACTCTAAACTTAGGCGTACTTAGAAATAATTTTTATAGTTTGGTTATTACAATCCCTACGAAACAGCTAAAATTCTATTTTTGCTAGGGTTCTAAGTTCAGTATAGTAAACCGCAGGACCACAGGCCTAAAGCCTAAACCCTCGAAGCTAAGCCCCACCTGGGGATACGATACAAAAGCCTACTGTATCGTTTTAAGGGTTGTCCCCCGATAATGAAGGCGTCATAGCCTACTATTTTGTAGAGTTTCGGGCTGCAGGTCAACCCCTTAAGCCCAAGCCAAAACCTTAGGGATCAAAATCGCCCAAAAGCCATAAATAGTATGGTCCTTAATATGAGTCCTTAGATCCCTAGGGAAACCCAAAACCCTAAGCCCTGGATTTATAACTCCACTTATTACCCACTTACTAAGTCCTCCGACCCTCCAAGCAAACCCTGGGGCTTAGGTTATAGGGGTTAGGTTCAAGGGCTCCGGTGTGGGTCTTAGGATTCAGGGCTGGGATTTAGGGTTTGCGGTTTTCAGTGTTGGTCTGAGCCATCTCCCTGGCAAGATGTAGGGGTCGCAATCAATAAGAAGAGGGCTCGGCTGAAAGCTCTGGGCTTTATACCTAAGATCCAGTACTACTCTTATTCCCTTATTGTAGTCCTAGGCTCCTTATACAGTTGCCCAATACCAAAAAGGGAGCCCTTTGTATTCCTAGGTTACTGGGCATCCTACTAGATATATGGGAGTTTCCGAAATAGGGGACCCTTATATAGTACCCTAAATAATAGGATCCTTATTATAAGGACCCCAAATAAGGTACCCCTAATTTTCGGAAACTCCCATATATAGGGGGCTTAGAGTCAGACTCGGGTTTGGGGTCACTGTAGTTTACTTATGATACGGAGCCCTGAGAAGAGTTTTAACCATTGGTGATAATGCGTTTTGGCGGCGCAAATCCCTAGGGATGTAAGGACTGATATATAAAGGCTTTTGGGCCCAAAGGCCATAACTATATGAAGCTTTTGGGCTATTTTGATCCCTAGGGAATTCCATAATGGCAGTGTGTGTGGAGTCTTTGGGTACTGTATTCTCGCAGCAAATCTGTTCGAACGTTCCAGGCCTTCCAGGCCCCACACCCCAAACTCCTCAGATGGGCAGGGGACTGAGTAAGTAGGTTATACGTAGGGTTATAGCTATAATTGGGGTACCTCCATTTAGGGTACTTATGACTCTACTTATAACCTACATAAGTCCCCTGCCCCTCCAAGTAACCCTTCGACTCGCTCGGGTGATGATATAAATCCTGCATGACTCATAATAAGGCCTCTACCATAATTTCCCACATTCCTTGTTCTGAGTAATGCAGGATGCATATCATCAACTTCGACTCATTGTACTCGAGATCCCGAAAACCCTAAACCCTAAACCCCCGTTGCTCCGCTGCTTGACGGCTCCCAGCGTTGAATTAGCACAGGCATTCGCAGCTGAAAAGTTGTCTTGGCGATTGCCGAAAATTCATTTTCGAGAAAATGGGCAATAGTTGCTCTTGACCGAAAACTCGAAAGTCCAAGCACCAACTCCCGAACGCTAGACCTGGAACCCACATTTTCTTCATCCGACTTGCTAGGCGTCTTGTAGGTGGAAATAACCATAGGTAAGGTCTCAGATACGTGCCGAGTCAAGCTGCTTCCAGTGTTTGTGCTGAAGCTCCTGTGACCCTTGGTCACTTTGGTCTCACCTTTGGCTAATGAGCACGGACACCGAATCTCACAAGGATGCTGCTGCCGACCATGCCTACTCTTTCTGGGACTCCTCGATTAAGTTGGGCGTTGGGGTTCCGATTTTGGGCTCGGGTTTTGGGCGTGGGGTTCATTAAGCGTCTAGGTTTTTGCTTCAGAGTTTCGGCTCGGGGAGATGTGTTTAGCTGACGTGTTGTCGAGTCAATAATAGCAGTCCTCAAGGGTTCCTCCTTGTGATTGTAGAGTTGAGGATATATCTATTTTTGATTATAGGGCTTAGAGTTTAAGATACAGCGAAATGTGGTTATATAGGGCTTAGAGTTTAGGATATACCTAAATGTGATTATGTAGGGCTCAGGGTTTAGGATATATCTACACATATATATATATATATACACTACAATATTCCCCAAAACTCTGGTATAACTATGTACTACGGTACAAGGCCCCTGTACAAAGCAGAAAAAGCTCCTTGGAGCCCCTCAGAAGGGCCTTCTAAGCCGTACTTGGAGGGTCGGGGGACTTAGTGACTAGGTAGTAAGTAGACTTATAAGTACCCTAAAAGGGACCCTAATTAGGGTTATGGTTTTTATAAGTCCTTAAAATAACCAGTTACTAAGTCCCCCGACCCTCCAAGTAAGCCGTATGCTTTCACAAGACCCTTACATTCGGCTCCGGTTTTTCGGGCGTTTCGGAAATCTAAGCCCTTACCTCATAAACCCTTCAACCCTAAACCCTAAGCCCTTCAAGCCTAGACCCTTAAAGCCCTAAACTAAACGTTTTTGGGAACTGAGGATCTGCATCGCATGCTGGCAGACAGCTACGTCGCAGATACCGGCCGACAGCGAGGTGCAGTGGCATCAAGGGTTAGGGGTCCAGGATTTGTTTAGGGGTTCTTCCAATCATAACTGCTCGGTGAGCGTTCTTATGACGGGTTCTCTTGGGTTTGCCGGGGTTTTATGGGTCCAAAGCACAGGTGCTGTAGCATCAAGAGTTGCTGCAGGGGTCCTTTACGGGCTCTATAGGGGTGCTATGGGGGTACATCAGTTCAAGGGTTTGAGTTTAGATTTGCTACAGGGGTCAGGATAGTTGACCATTGTTCCTCATACCCCCCATATAACCATAGCATAACAATGTGACATCGCATACCCCAAAGGCCCATTCTATCTGTTAACGACCTCATACTACGTGAACCAGGATTTCCCAGGCCCTGCCTATGTGTGAATGAGCAGAGCCTACCCAAAATCAGCGATCTTAAAGCCCCAGCTCTGGACGTTTGTGACATCGCAGACAGGAATCCGGATGACACCCGAAGTCCCGAGCACGAAATCCGCGACCCCCACTAAGTCCAACCTCCCGTAGGTGCAGTCTGCACCAGCCCTTCTGACCAGAACTTGCTGATGGCGTCGCAGGAGGATGTCTTTCGATTTTATACATGTCCGAGAGCTGAAACATCGGGAAAATCGTAAAACCCGAAACCCTAAACCAGACCTTAAGAACGATGAGCTTGACACATTCGGATATGCTTAATTTTCCCGAGAGGCGAATTAACCCAAAGGCTCCGCATATACTACATTAGGTCCCCAGAACTGGATGATCCTTTCGGACCTGATTCCATAATGGCAGTGTGTGTATGTGTGTGTGTATAATATATATATATACACTTAGTTTTTCAATATCCAACCATTAAACTCTTTGGGTCTATAGGGTTTAGTCGCAATCTGAAAGTTTAACCTTTTATTTCCCTGGCTTTCTGGGGAAGTTAGTTTCTCTCTCTCTCTCTCTCTATATATATATATATATATATATACATGTGTATATATATATATATGTATATATATATATATGTATGTATGTATGTATGTATGTATATATATATGTATATGTATATATATATATATGTGTATATTATTTATTATGTATATACTGTATACCTGGAGCCTCTGGGTAAGCGCAGGAGTCGGACGCTTTTCTGCCACTTCCGACCCCAAGCAACAGCGGCCTCGGCTTGCCTAGGCATTTCAAGCTGGGATCGAGCGGTTCTTAGTAGCTGAGTGGATACACTTTACACTTTTTGGGATAATATTATCCACTGTAAAACTGAAAGTGTACACTTTTTGGGAGAGTATTATCTTATCCACTATAAAACTGAAAGTGTACACTTTTTGGGATAATATTATCCACTGTAAAACTGAAAGTGTACATTTTTTGGGAGAACGTTATCCACTGTAGAACTGAAAGTGTACATTGTATTGGAGAACATTATCCACTATAAAACTGAAAGTGTGCACTTTTTGGGATAGCATTATCCACTGTACAACTGAAAGTGTACACTTTTTGTCATAGTAGTATCCACTATAAAACTGAAAGTGTACACTTTTTCGGTTTATGAACTCAGCAACTAGGGGTTCCTTTTAGGGTTCCTTGAAGTAGGGTTTCTCTATAAGGGTACTATAGGGTCTAGGGGTTTGTGGTTTGAGTTTTAGGGTTTAGTGGGGTCGGTTGATGATATAAATCCTCGGTTCCCTTAAAATCCTCTACAGTGATCTATAAGGGTACCTTCAAGGGAGTTCCCAAGCAACCCGAAAGCAGCATCCAAGTAAGTCTCAGCTTTGATTTTGTGTAATGAAACTCTAGAACCTGAAGCCTAACTAAACCCTGAGCCCTAAACCTCCAAACCCTCACACCCAAGTCGCTACACCCGCAAACCCTATAATCCTGAAGCCGAGTATTGGGCAGCTGAGGTTAAACCCTAAGTTTTAAACCCACTTAAACCCACGACCCTAAAGCCCTAAACCCAGTATTAACCAGCTGAGGTGGCAGGCGCATGAGCATTTGCATCACCGTCCCCTGGACCGGCGCCACGCCGGATGATGAGCCCACATCCAACACTCTAGGTCCGGGATGCCGAAATGTTTAGTATAGGGGTCTAAATAATTACCAATACTATTTTGGGGGTCTCCGTTTTATAGTTGTAGTATAGTGCGCCTGCGAATCCTATTCTAATTATGAAGGCCCCTACATTAGGATTTCGGGTTCACCAGGTCTTTCCATCTGCCCTTGAATAGAGCCCTTTGTGCACCTTACTACATAGCGTGTAGTTCGGGTAGGGTAGGGTTGCGGGGTATGGGGGTGCTTGGAGGGTCGGGGGACTTAGTAACTGGTTATTTTAAGGACTTATAAGTACCATAACCCCGATTAGGGTCCCTTTTAGGGTGCTTATAAGTCTACTTACGACCTACTTACTAAGTCCCTGAACCCTAAACCCTAAACCATATAATACCCTTATAGAGCCCTTTAAAGGAACCCTTAGAATCCCGCTTTAAAGGAGCCCCTTACTAAGTCTCCCGACCCTGCAAGTAGGGCCCAGCTCTAAGCTCCATTGTAGCTCCTTTTTGTGGCTTATAGTTAGGATCCTGTAAGGTAATCCCAAAAAGGAGCCACAATGAAGCCTATGGGTACGCCCTAAGCCCCTAAACCCTAAGTTTAGGGTTCCAGTGTCTACCTTGTAGCCCCAATTTTGATCCCTACGGTTGATGATATAAATCCTGCATTACCCATAATAAGGAATATATGGGAACTATGGTATATTCCTTATTATGGGTCATGCAGGATTTGTATCATCAACAGTAGGGCTTGAGCCTTCAACCCCCAGGTCCCCAAGCCCGCAAGCCTCGCCCTCTCCAAGTTGAAAGAAGGGTCACTTGGAGGGGCCCGGGGGACGTAGTAAGGGTTCTTAAAGGGCTCCTTACAGGGATCTTTTGGGGTTCCTTAAAGGGATCTATGGGGTTGAGGGTTTAGGGTCTACCTGGAGGGGCAGGGGACTTAGTAAGTAGGTCATAAGTGGAGTTATAGGTAATTACCCTAAATGGAGTTACCTTAATTATACCGCTACTTATAACCTACTTATTAAGTCCCCTGCCCCTCCAAGTAGAAGGCAGCACGGCTCCTTAGCAAGGAACCCCTTGTAGGAACCTTTCAAGGCACCCCTTTAAGGAGCCTCTGCCCGAGTCTCTAGGAAGATGAGGTTCCGGAGCCCAGAACTAAAATCGCCATCCCCGAAAGCTATATGAGATTTGAGCCCTCTGAGGGTTTCGAGGTTGTAGTCGCTTAGGCGTTTCAATATAGGTATCTGGGATTCCAAAGCCAATTGTTTCAAAGTTTTTAGCGGTTATGCCATCCAATTGGTGGTCGTAGCCCGCTAATTTGTGGGATTTGGGGCTACAAGGTAGACACTGGAACCCTAAACTTAGGGTTTAAGGGCTTAGGGTGTACCCATAGGCTGCATTGTGGTTCCTTTTTGGGATTACCTTACAGGATCCTAAATATAAGCTACAAAAGAGCTACAATGGAGCCTATACCCAGAGGGTCCATATACACTACTATTATGGAACTAAGCCCTGAAAGACCATCACCATTATGGTTTTGGGGATTTTGTATATGGACCCTCTGGGATAGTTACGCTCTAGGGTTTCACACCCTGTGCCCTTGCCGGCCCTGGTAGGCGTGAAGCCTCCAGGCGCCCTCGAGCCAAAACCGCCGGATGGCGACTCGTTCAAAGGGCTCCTTAAAGGGGTTCTACTTGCTTGAAGGATCATGGGACTTAGTAAGTAAGGTTATAAGTAGGTTATAATCAGGATCACCCCACTTAGGGGACATATAACCCCAATTACAACCTACTTACTGAGTCCCATGATCCTCTAAGTATTCGGGACCCTTAGAGGGTTTTTATACGGGATCTGGATCTACAGGGGTTTAGGGTTTAAATCATGTCATAGGGGAACGAGTCCTACAAACAGTCCTCAAGTGTTTTTTGTTTTTTTGGGTGGAAGTTGCATAAAGCGGTCCCACCACACCATTGTTTAGTGTTCCTGAATACAACACTTATCATACAATTTACCCCAAAGCCCCAGTCCACTGCTGGTTTTTGTATTGTGGCCCTAACAATTACCTAAGGGAGTTCCCTTCAAGGGATCCTTTAAACGGGTCTATAGGGGTTACCATAATTACCTGGAGGGTCATGGGACTTAGTAAGCAGGGTTATAAGTTACAATTAAGTATAAACGTAGTTACCTTACTGATAACCCCAATTTCTAAGTCCCATGATCCTTTAAGTATGGCCTCTCACGAACTTGGTGGAATCCTCCAAGCTTCGGTCCGGAACTGCTGCCCCGACTTATCCGGAGCTAGGCCCCTTCCGTCTGGGTGGTTCTCAAAATGATGGTCCCTTTTTGGGCCCTTATTATAATGCGGCTCTTAATATTCAGGGTACTCAAAAAGGGGGGCCATAGTTTTGACAACTACCCATCTATGCGTCCTTTCCGCCCCTGTTCTGCGGCAAACCCGGGACCCCAAGCCTTAAGTCATCAACATGGCTCTCTTAGAAAGGATGCTATAGGGCTCAGGATTTAGGGTTCCTTTAAAGGGGTCTATAAGGGCTACTATAAACGTTTAGTATAGGGTCCTAAACAACCAACACCATCTTGAGCGTTCCTTTTTGTAAGTATAGTACGGTATACCCCGAAACCCTATTCTAATTATTAAGGCCCCTATATCTTACCGCAGAGGCCATGGCTTCGGTCGAAGACGTAGCAATACTGCCCGCTTATCATCCCAATATGCTTCTGACCATAGTGCCATCCACCCAATAGCCTATTAAAAATGTCTATCCCCTAAGCCCTATAACAAAGCCGGAATCCTCATGAGAAATAGAATCCTAAACCCTAAGCCCTATAAATCCAAATCAAAAATAGCCTTTTTTTGCCCTGAATCACGAACAAGGTGATCTGGCCAACCTGCCGGCGGCTGGCAAATCTACAGACTTACTACAATCATTGAAGCTTGGTTTAGGGTTTAACCTAGGGATCTAAGGACTCATATATAAAGGCTTTTGGGCCCAAGACTATACTATATAAGGCTTGTGGGCTATTTTGATCCCTAGGGTCAAGGTTTGTGCTTAGGGTTCATGGTATAGGGCTCATACAGTCAAAGAGGAAAAGGAGGGACCCTTAATGGGGACCCCTACCCTATAATGGGCTGTATAATGGGTATATAATGGCTATATTAAGGGTATATACCAAGGGGTCCTTATTAAGGGTCCCTCCTTTTACCCTTGGATACAGTTGATGATACAAATCCTGCATAACCCATGGTACGGAATATATGGGAATTATGGTATATTCCTCATCATGGGTCATGCAGGATTTATACCATCAAGAGTAGTTTAAGGTGTATCGGCCCCTGAGCCATGCTGTTCAAGGCTTTTGGGATTTTTTGAGCCTGATAACCCTAAACCCTACTTAAAGAGGCAGGTGACTTGGTAAGTAGGTTATAAGTGGAGTTATAGGTACCCTAGATGGAGTTACCCCAATTACAGCTATAACCCTACTTTTAACCTACTTACTAAGTGCCCTGCCCCTCCAAGTAAACCCTAAACCAAGACCCTAAACCCTAATTCCTAAACGTCTCGGGGCATCCAGGGTTTCCAACATTCCTTAAGTCAGGGGATTGTACGAAGGATGTCTTTGTTAGGGGCCTTGAGTGCTGATAATAGGGCCAGTGTAGGAGGCATGTTATAGCAGAGTTCTATCATGTAGGGGTTTGAAAATTCGGTTTTACTATTGGGGTTCTTATGATGCTTACCATTAATCCCCCCACCTAAAGCCCTATTCTAAGTCTTCTGCGAGGCCCCTTTTCGACACAATGAAGTTTACTAGGTTCCTGAGTAGTGCCCTTTTTGCCCTTTTTAGTTTAGGGTCCCCTTTATTAAAACCGAAGAGTAGGAAAAAGGGTAGCCTTATTATAAAGGGGTTACTCAGAAACCTAGTTTATGCATGGTACGCAGAGATCAGGGCACAGAGCATGACGACGTTTTGCACGACAGGTCCCTTTTAAGGCGACTTGGAGGGTCGGGGGACTTAGTAATTAAGTAGGTAGTAAGTAGACGTATAAGTACCCTAAAAGGGACCCTAATTGGGGTTATGGTACTTATAAGTCCTTAGAATAACCAGTTACTAAGTCCCCCGACCCTCCAAGTAAGTGCCTCAGCCATCCCGGAGAGGAAGCTAAGCACGCAAGGAAACGACTTCACCGTACTGGGATCGAAGAGGAGGAATCCGATTCGGACAGTGACGTCGGCAACATCCAGCTGCACACCCACTTGTGTTGGCAGGAAGGTGCATCAGTCACTTCGTTCTCCAATACCCAACCTTTAAACGTTTTTGGATATATATATATATATATTTTTTTTTGTTTAGTAGTAATCTGGAAGTTTAACCTTTTATTTCCCTGGCCTATTGGGGAAGTAAGGTCCGAACCACACATCGAAAGATGACTGGCGCCAACAGCATTGAACCTGGGGCAGTACCGACTGGCACCATAGGCTCGGTGTGGGTCAAGTCGCTCTTATGCTCATCGTGGCTTAGTATCATGATCAATGCCCCATGCGGGTGACCTAAAGAAGGGTCCTAGAAACGGTATAACGCATGCTATCGAATCTTATATATGTAGATTACTTATTTACAAATATATATATATATATATATATATATATATACATACTCTGCAGGCCCAAGGCCCTACTTAAGAACTACTACTGCATTGCAACTTGGGCGGCTTGGCCTACGACCACCTCAGGCAGCAACAGCTTGCGGGGATCTCGACGCCGGGCCTGCATGCTGCATCCCAGTGGCACCTTCCGAGCAGTTTGGAACCTGATGGTGGGTGCCTTCGTGATGTACGACTTGCTGGTCACCCCCTTGCTTCTTGGAAATTTCTAGTTGTTGCTTTAGGGCTGGGGTTATGGGCATGCTGAACCTGCCCACGAACTACACCACAATTTGCACCAAATCCTGGACTTCCTACAGACCCCAGAAAGCCATATACTCGAAGCCATCAAAACCTGAAGCACCAGCTCCATGTCCTCATTAACCCTAGATCCTTCTTTACTTCTCTAGTGCATGTCCTAAGCACCCAGACACCCAGATCCCGTCAGAGACCTCGATCCTAGTTATCAAACCTACTAGGGACTCCTAAACCCTAAACCCTAAACAGCCGAAGGTTGGTCTTCAGTCTTCCAGAGTGGCTGGCGCAACTTCACGGGAGTTTGAGGCTTCTGGGGTGTAGGGTTTGTGTGGTTTACAGGTTTAGGGCTCAAGGTAAACCCTAAACCCTGGACCCCAAACGATTCGTTTTGTCGCCGGGTTGGGGATGTTCGGTGTGTGGCAGTCTAGGCGCAGGCTAGGATCTAGCTGCAGGGAGACTCAGTGCTCCGCGCGGTAACTTAGCCCAGGGCCAGTACGACCAGCTAAGGAGGTACCCGATGTCGCTGGTGGTGGAGCTGTTTTGGAGTTTCTGATGCAGGCAAAAGCAGAACTGTTCGTTCAGCCGAACTTTGCTTTTTGAACACCATCAACCCCAAACAGCAGGGACTACTTGGGCCCTTCGAGCTTGAAAGGTTAGCACCCTAAACCCTCAACCATAAACCCTAAACCTTAGCCTGCAGTTCAAGCACCGAGGTTCCGACTTCGTTCTGACTTTCTTCACCGGCTACTACCAAAAGGGCTTCTTGGTCATGGAGCGCTGTAAAGTTGCCCGTCATTACGCGAAGACCTGGATGCACCTCGGCAGATTTATGCGATTGGCCTCTTTGCTACCATTGCAGTTCCCATTCTAGTTAGCACATTTACGGTTCGGATCCTCTATATGATATACAGTTGGTTTGCCCAAAAGCCAAAACCCTCAACCCTAAACCTCTAACCCCTAAACCCTAAACCCCAAGAACTACAATGGAGACAGCTTGTAGGTGTGTCCCCGAATCCCCGAAGTAGCTGAGGCCCTGCAATCGTTCCACAGTCCCCAAGCCCGAAAACCCAGACCTTCCCAAATCCCTTAATTAAGGAATATACCTTAAACCATATTAGGGATCCTACTATAAATTAAGGTATATTCCTTAATTCAGGAATTTGGGAAGGTCTGGGAAGTTTAGGTTCAGGTTTACAGTCAGATACGCTGCAATCCGTACGTAGGATTCGATTTAGGGGTTCCGGGTCTAGGTTAGGGACCCAAGAAGCACATAAGCAGAAGCATTTGATACTGATATCCCTACCTTATTGGGCTTCATTATAAGGGGGGTTTATATGGGATATCCCTATTCTAACTTTTGCTTATGTGTTTGAGTTTGTTTTCATTCGGTGGTGAGGCTCTTTGACTTCACCTTGATCCTCATCGACTGGGGTGTCGATGTTCTGGACTTGCTGACTCAGGGCAGCTTCTTCGCTTAAGTGTGTTGACGGGCGTTTCAGGGTTACTCTAAACCTTAAATCCTAAACCCTAAACCCTTTTCAGACCCCTTATAGATCCCTTATAGGAGCCCTTATTGGAGCCCTTGTAGGAACCCTCACAGTTCCTTTTAAAGGAACCCGAAACCCTAATTCCCCTAAACCCTTGGAGCACTCAGCCCCCCAGCTGCCATTTCAGCTGGCTGAAATGCCCCAAAGTATAGACCTCCGACCTCAGCTTCAGTACGGCACCTACCCTAAGGCCCTAAGGCTCCATGTACCCATATAGTAGGCACGTAGTCCTTAAAGGGGCCCCTATATGGGTACTTTAAGGCCTGCGTACTTACTATATGGGTACATGGAGCCTTTGGGCTAATATTTAGGGTGCCCAAAAAGGGGCCCCAATTTTGACGACCACGCATGTGGGATGCGCAAGCACAATCGTGACGAACGGGCGCGGAAGTGCGAAGTAGAGGCTTGAACCTGCAATACACGGGAATCTCTGAAACATTTACTCGGATGCCCAGTAGCCCGCGTAGAGGGTTTACCGGTGTAGGAGTACGCTAAACCCTAAACCCTAATGCCCTAAAGCCCTAAACCCTAAACCCTAAAATTGTTCTTGAAGAAACGATCCTCGTCTCGTATAGAAGCACTAGGATGCCCAGTAGTATCAGTCCGAGGTTCCTTATAAGGTTACCCAATACCAAAAATGGAGCACGGTTTAGGGTTTAGGGGTTTAGGGTTTAGGGTTTAGGGTTTAGGGGTTTAGGTTTTAGGGTTTAGGGTTATTCCTAGGTTACTGAGCATCCTACAGTAGTTTGTTTCCGGCAATCGGCAGCTTAAATTGTCAGACAGCAGCTCAGAAAGGACCAGCATCATGCACCAGCCCGTAAACCCGAAGCACTACTCCTCATCTTCATTTCTGGTATAGGATACTCCCATACATGTTTGAAGGGCTAGTAGCAGTGCCACCCATAGAGTTTAGATATTTGTAGTATGCAACATGCCCACAGAGCAATGTTGTATTAAGTGCAAGTGAGATAAGTGGGGTAAGTGAAACAGTTAGCACAAGCAGCATATGTGGTAAGTAGTACGTAGTACGCAGGTAGCAGTAAGTGGTATGTGACAGGTATACTGCAGGTAGCAAGTAGTGGTGGTACCAGTAGCAGATTTAGTGCTAGGACACGTGCATGTGTTTGCAGCGTGAGACCGACCATCTACGTTTTGTCTTGCTGGGCCCCAAAACCCTAAACTCTAAACCCTATAACCCTAAACCCTCAGGTGCCGCCGAGCCGACGGAGTTGAGCCGCACCGTTCGTATGTTTCGTCTTCTTCGGCTAGTTCGTGTCGCGAGAGCACTCAAGCTGCGACGTGGCTTCACCGCAATGCAGGAGCCTGTAATATGCAAGCCGAAATGCTGCATTAAACAAATATCCAATCTTACACGTATACTAAGACCCTTAATGATATGATTCCGAATTGGCCGGGTCGCTGGTGTGATGTAAGTAAGGATGCGGCGCTGTGCTCTGCAGGTTCGCAAGCTTGAAATCGCAAATTAAGCCCCACCGATGACCCTTTTCAATCTTTGGGTTTAGGGAAGGGTTCGGGAAGTATTTTAAGTAGTTTAAGGAGTGTTTTTTGGGTGTTTAGGGGGTTTCATCTTTCGAATGCGTTAATAACTGATTTGAATAGATAGGGGGTTATATACTTAGATTTAAAATAGGGTCCTGAAAAGCTTAGAGTGAGGCGTATGATTGGAACACGGTTAACTTAAGGATTTCAACGGTATCCTCATGGTACGTCATTGACTGCAATACTCTACGCATGCGTACACTACTCCAGTGCAAGATATGTCCCTTAGCTTCAGCCCTTCTGCCTTCTTCCGAAGTCGCAGGACGTCATCCATTCGCAGCGTGCAAGCCTCTATCTGAAGTTTGTTGTGAGTCTTGGTCAACTTCTGATGCTTGTCCACTGGATACTGGGCCTTCAGTTACCATAACGTAATACTTTTTTGGGAACCTGTTACTAACCTAAAGGGAGCCATTATATGAAACAACAGTCTATACATTTTCTCCCTGGTTACTTCAAAGTCCAGGATAGCCTGTGGTTGGTTTGGGGTGACGTGGCTACACAGCGAGAACTGGGTGGCAATGAGTGATTTGCGTTACCGCGATTCGCTTTTCCAGTATCTGACATGCGTTTTGTGGTCCTTCTGTCAACTGGGTGTGGGAGAGAGCCCTTGGCAACCGACAAATACCACGGAAATGATCCTCGCCAGTGTGATTGCCTTCACGGCCCTCATCACCGCTGCTGTGCTCATCAGCACCTTAGGATCTGAATGAGTGCACTTTATAGTTCTGCCACAATCTTATCCCCTATGGCAGCCCTGAGCCCTAAATAACCCTAAGCCCTGAACCCGAACTTATGAGTTCAGCAGCTAAGGCACCATGGGAGAGTTGATTGCAGGGCTCCGCAAGCTTCGCCAGGACGAGCTCACTCAGTTTCTTGGTCAGTCGTAGTAATGACACTAACAGCAAAAGTAAATGTGATCGTATTAACAGTAGTAACTAAGAAGTAATGGTAATAATTGCAGTACTTTCACTCCTTGCGATGTTTTTTTTCTTGTTTTGGGGTTGGGGTCTACTGTTTTCTTGTAAGTCTGAGGCCGTGAGGACTCACATATAAAGGGTTCAGGGTCTACGTGCACCCCAAATTACGTAGAATAGTAGCTTGTTTTAGGTGCTGCGCCATTATTTCACCTACTTTTGTGGGTTTAGGTACTCACTTTTGTAAGTGAGCAACTCCGCAACTCCCAGGTTCAGGCTCTTGCGCCGCTACCTGCAGAAGCATGACATTCCTCTGGACCTTGGGCATCGGGTGACTCAGTTCCTACACAACCAGTACACAGAAAGGCAACAGGCCTCGTCGTCGCAGACGCAAGCGCCTATGCTAAACTTTACGGTTCCTTGAAAGGGATCTATAAGAAGGGTTCCTATAAGGGTACTACAAAAAAGGGTTACTAATAGGGTAGCATAATAAGGCTTACTGCTAAACTGGTCGGGGGGCTCCGGGTACTAAGTTGCAGTTTCTTTGCTGCTCTAACTACTTGCAGCTTGTTCAACGAACAGCTGCTTCGGAGCGAATCAAAACATAACTTGGAGCAACCTTCAGTTCGCGTTATATATATATATATATATATATATATATATTCCAACCCACGAAGTCAGCCTTTGGACCTTATGCTGGAACGACATTCCTTCCGATCCTGGACTATTCGTAAGGCCCTACAGCCCCGAAACACAAAGCCACATAACCCTCCTAGGAGCCCGGTCAGGTTGTGGGTACGATAAGACTGATGCTGGGGTCCACGGAATAGTAATCCACTACGTCGGTATCCCTGAACCCTAAACTAAACCTTAAACCCTCAACATCCCCAACAGCTCCATGAACTGAAGCCTTCCCACTAACATTGCATCAGCATCACTAATATTATGGTAATATGGGAGAACTGGATTCTTGTTAAGGGGTTGGATTTGAGCTAACATAAGAAGGAAACATATATGTATATATATATATATACATATATATATATACATCTATGTGTATTTTTAATTTATGTAAAGGTCCCTATTATGGTAACTTAGAGTAGAAGCCAGAAAGTTGGAATATCATTATCATAATCCCTTTAAGGTAAATTATAGGGGATCCTGCCATTATTCCCTATTCCAACTTTCTGGAGTTCCCTTTACAGCTCCATGAATGCCCAACCCGGGATCCTCAAGCCCGCTAGGACCTCGCTGTTGGCGAACTGCAGCCTGGAATAGGGGACCCTACGGTTGATGATATAAATCCTGCATTACCCATAATAAGGAATAAATGGGAATTGCGGTATATTCCTTATCATGGGTCATGCAGGATTTATATCATCAACCGTAGTATAGTACCCCTAAATAGTAGGATCCTTAATATAACGACCCCAAATGGGTACCCCCAATTTTCGGAAACTCCCGAGTAATGGGGCCTTAAACCCCAAGGGTGTAAAGGATCCAGGAATTAGGTATTTGGGTTTAGGATAGTAGCTATGTAGGTTAATAATTTGGCTATAGTCTCCTTAGTTTGTTTATAGTTTTGATCATTTAAAACCCAAGGGGTTCAACATAAACGTATTTTATGAATTGTGGTTCTAAGGGGGAGGTATACAGTAGTTAGAGAGTGTATGATAAATAGGATGATTAGGTACTTGGACCCTTAGGGTTACGGTTTAACCTGGAGACTCGAAACCCTGAAGCAGAAACATTACCTGTGGCCCCCCTAAAGGACCTACCTTGTCGGAATTTCTGGTTAAGAGGTGAGACATAAGCCGTTCATCCTAGACTTGGAACTAGGATCCCTTAAAGGAGCCCTTCAAGGAGCCCTTAAAGGATCTCACAAGTTCCACGGACCGGAGGTGCCTCTACTTGAGCTTCTCTCTCGCCCCATGTTTCCAGATGCATCCTTGGTAAAGCTTTGTTCGTTTTGGGGCCATTTTGGGGTTTAGGGTTTAGGGGTTAGGGGTTTATTGTTCAGGGCTTGCGGGTGCCAGATGCATCCTTGGTAAAGTTTTTTGGCTATGTTGCTTTGGGTGCAGGGGTTCAGGGTTTAGGGTACATAGGGTTTAGGGTTTGAGGATTCGAGTGCTGGGCTCAGGGTTTGTGGCTTTGGGGTTTTGGATGAAGAGTTTCGGGCTCAGGGTTAGTACATGCGCCTGCATACTTGAGAGTATTGTTTTCTCTTCTAACCCTATACCTTACGTACTTGGAGGATCATGGGACTTAGTAACTGAGGTTATAAGTACCTTAAGTGGGGTTATAAGTATAGTTACCCTAATTATAACCCCAGTTACTAAGTCCCATGATCCTTTAAGTAGGCTTTCATGTGAGCTGGAAGCAGTCTGTACAAGCACAGGAGTCGAGTTTTTCAGGCCCATGCGAAAATGATGCGCAAAGGCCCCACCACTCCAAAAAGCACTCCCTGTAACATCTCGGAAAGCCTAAACCATAGACCCTATATAAATCCTAACCGCAAACCCTATGAAACCCTCAACCTTAAGCCCTGAACCCTGAACGGACCCCTAAACCCCTAGAGCCGGAACCCTAAACCCAAAGCCGTTGGAGTCTTGCAATCCCTTATGGATCCCTTTAAAGGAACCCTTTAAAGGAACCCTTAAAAGATCAAAGCAACTCCTAAACCCCTAAACCCTAAACTCCTAAACCCCTACACCCTAAACTCCTAAACCCATATCCCCCTACACCGAAGTCCGAGGATGCAAGAGCTGCAGTTCGAAAGACATCGCGCTGTCCTCTGCAAAATCGGTGCCATCAAGGCCGGAGATTCTCGTTCCGGGTTTAGGGTTCCTTTAAAGGGCTCCATAAGGGATTGAAAGACTCCAAGGGCTTTGGGTTTAGGGCTCCGGCTCTAGGGGTTTAGGGGTCCGTTCAGGGTTTCGGGTTTAGGGTTCCTTTAAAGGGGTCCTATAAGGGGTCCTATAAAGGAGAATCAGATCCGGGTTCAGGGTGCAGGGTTTAGGATTGAGTCAGGGTTCAGAGTTTAGGGTTCAGGGTTTGGGGTTTAGGGTTTAGGGTTTGGGGTCCAGGGTTTAGGGTTTAGGGTTTAGGGTTCAGGGGTTTGGGGTTCAGGGTTTGGTTTTTTCAGGCGTAAGGTTCAGGGCTTGTAAGGTTAGAGGTTCAGGGTTGAGGTTTCAGGCTGTAGTGTTTTCCGGGTCACAGCCCGGTGGCGACAGTATTGCGACCACGGCCGACTCGAGGGCATCATGCTATGGCGTTGCGCTGTGAACGCTTGTCTATAATGCGGTTTAGGCTTTAGGGTTTAGTAGGAGGCTTGTCTTGCTTTCTCCCCCACCCCGCGGCGTACAAGGCGACCAAACCACCCAAACCTATTCCTTATATGGGTTTAGGCCTAAACACATTGATACCTATGCGGCTAGTATATCTTCTTAACGGCCGCCACCAGGGCGCGCAGGGTAGGACCAGGCGAGAACGTGTTCCGATACTCATAGGAGGCTAAAAGGGGTTTTAGCCTATGGGGGTTTAGTGGGGATTGGGGTTCCCATAATTGGGTTCATATTAGGGAATCCCGAACCCAAGAATCTTAAACCACCCTTTTGGCCTCCAATCAGATACTGGGTCCGACGTGGCTGCGACTATCGATGGTACCGGTCGGCCTTTTGCGATTGCTAGGGGCCTATGCGCGGCCTATGCTTCGACTTTACCCTAAGGGTCCAAGTTGCATGACTTTGGGGCCTTTATTTAATTTATGGGTACCAAGAGCCATGGAGTACTTGGACCCTCGAGGTTAGGGTTTAGAGTTTGGGGTTTAGGCCTTGCGGGGGGGGTTCTAGTATAGTCCTCGTCTCGTATAGAAGCACTAGGATGCCCAGTCGTACCAATATTCCCTTGTTGTAGTCCTAGGTTCCTTATAAAGTTACCCAATACCAAACAGGGAGCCCGTTTTATTCCTAGGTTACTGGGCATCCTAGAATAGCTACAAAGGTTATGTCCAATTATGGTTTTACTTTTCGCATCTTCTCTCATACTATACCCCAAACCCCATTCAACCATTAAGGATAATATGCCCCAAACCCCAGGATACTATGCCCCAAACCCCCATTCAATCATTAAGGATACTATAGCCCAAACCCCCATTCAATCCTTGAGGTGAATATACCCCAAACCCCAAATCCCCATTCAATCATTAAGGATAATATACCCCAAACCTCATACAATCATTAAGGATAATATACCTCACACCGCCATTCAATCGTTGAGGATACCAAACCCCAAACCCCCATTCAATCATTAAGGATAATATACCCCAAACCCCCACTCTATCATTAAGGATAAAATACCCCAAACCCCCATTCAATCATGAAGGATAATACACTCCAAACCCCATTCAGTCATCCTAAACCCTAAACCCCAAAACCCTAAACCCTAAACCTCTAAACCGTCCCTAATCGTAGAAGCATCCGATCAACCGCTTTTCGGCGTGTCAGGCGATACTCAGCAAGGACGACGCCCCATGGTTGCAAGACGGTGTTCCCCAAGGGTCCAAACGGTTGATGATATAAAGCCTGCACTACCCATAATAGGGAATATACCATAATTCCCATAGTTTAGCGTCCATAAGGTAATGCAGGACTTATATCATCAGCCGAAGGACACAATAACTAGGGTTAAGGGGTTTAGGGTTCAAGGGTCCAAAGGACCCAATCGTTACCCTAAACCTTAAACCCTAGGTACTTAGGTTTCGGATAGTAGTTACGTAGGTTACTACTTATTATGACTATTAGGTACTTGGACCCTTGGAGTCTCTGTCGCTGTAATCATTTTGAGGGTCAGCGCAGTCTACGAAGTCGAGGGGCTGGCGGACGGCACAGGATCCTTGGTAGGATGTTTATAACCCTAAGGGTCCATGTACTCATATAGTATATACATTAGCCTTAAAGTACTCCCTATATAGGTACATTGGGCCAAAGTATATGCTATATGGGTACATGGACCCTTAGGGTAAGCTCCCCCAAGACCCAGCCCAGCGAAGGTCCACTGCCGGCGAGTACTTCACAAGCTACTCGCTGCATGTTGTGGCAACCAGCCGACCATCGGAACTGCCTTTAAAACTTAGGCGTACGTAGAAATAATTTTTAAAGTTTGGTTATTATAATCCCTAAGAACAGCTAAAATTATAACTTTTGCTAGAGTTCTAAGTTCCCACAGTCTACAACCCTATACCCCAAACCCTAAACCTAATCCCCTAAACCTGAAACTCTTGAACTCCGCAGTAGCAGCTCTGTAGTATACAATAGGCGGCTTTGAGGATCTTCGCAGCGCGACGGTTGATGATATAAACCCTGCATTACCCATAATAAGGAGTATACGGAGTATACAATAATTTCCAAAGTCCAGGGCCCTTCAGGTCAGGTAATGCAGGGTTCATGTCATCAACCGTAGTACTGCCATGGAGAATGTGTTGTGTGGGTGAAGACACTGTGTGGGGGTGAGAGGTGCTGGTAGTGGTGGCTACTGTCCCGTGCTTCCCTCGACGCCATGAAGGTATGTCGAGGTTTACACCATTCCTTCTTTGACCCATCGCAAACTTCACTGACCCTCTTTCCCGATACCCTAAACCCTAAACCTCTTGAAGCACCGTTTGTTCGGCTCGGACAGCCCCATGCTCCCACTCGTTCTCTTCGCGGCGGCTTTCGGAGGGAACTGCTGGCCTTACTATTGTTGCCGGTGATGGTTCAAGTATTTATATTTCTCCATTGGTCTTGCAGAGGTACCTATTCAGAACTGTCTTGGGTGCCCCTGAGAAGCGCAATTCCGAACTCTCCACGGACGCAGACTTTCCAAAATCCCTAGTTAAGGAATATACCTTATAGACTAAAAAAGGATCCTTGATATGATTTGAGGCATATTTCTTAGTTAAGGGATTTTCGAAGGACTGGGGACTTTTCACTATGAGGATGGCTTACAACAGCTTGGACCCGATGGTGGCGGCAGCGGGGGATGTCATCTTCGTCGGTGGCCACATGGCCACCATGTCGTACATCAGGATGAATGGCCGCCTGAGCTACTTCAAGGATGGGCAAGCGCACATCGAACATTCAGTTCAGCCGTTTTTTCTGGTTTTCAACTTTGGTATCTGGGCCAAAGGGTCCAAATATCACTATGGGACATACTTATAGGGTATTTTGGGGGTCGAAGTATATACTATAGTGATACTTGGACCCTTTGGGTGGGCACTTGTGTTGAACTGTTTTGGGGCTTCCGGTATAGGGACCCTATTTCCGAGAGGCCCACGGTCTTGCATTGAACTATGAGCCTCTTCCGTGTTTTAGGGTTTCCAAAACCGGACCTTTCGTCCCAAACCCTACACCCCTTCATTCTGAACTTAGTGTTCTAGGGTGGTGAGGGTTTCAAAACAGAACGAGGCCTGTCGTCCCAAAGCCTCAAATTAGCTTATGCTGTCAGCCCGAAGTATCGGCATCAAAAGTCCCTGTCGTCGAGCATGCAAACTTTAGAGACTGGTTGGGTTTGGGGTTTAGGGTTAAGTGTATATTTTTTTTAAGGGTACAGGGGTTTATAAGCCTTTAGGGTTATAGGGTAGAGATTTTAAGGAAGTTCAGGGTGTCGGGCGGTTAAACGTATCTCCCAATCTTTGTGAGAGCTTAGCTCTGTCAAGTCTGGACGCCCCAAGTCCTAAACCGTACACGGCCATACAACACCCTTGTACAAGTCCTATAGATTGGTAGCCTGGTGCTTGCGAAACCTGAGGAAGACCGGTCAAGGTGACAGTAGACGGCACGAAGTAGGGGAATCCGGTACTCCCATATAAAGTGCCTTTGAAGGAGCCCTGACCTAAAGCATCGTATCCGGTCCGTTCGCCTTTGGATACCTGAGATTTTTCATGAAGGATCCTGACCATAGACATGAAGGATCCTGACCAGCGGAAAATGTATTACATTCTTGGGACGAGGTCGAAACTACATTCTCAATGCCTCTTCCATGAGGGTCCCGCTATCTCAAGCTTCCTGCATCCTGCATCAGGACGGCGTTTTTCAGCCTCTCACTGATGCCCACTGGATTTCAGAAGTCTGCCTTTGGGTAGCTTGGCTTTGCTCTACTGCCTGTGCACACGATGGTGCAGCATAATGGTTTGAATACTCAGCAATAATATCCCTTTCTAGTCCGTATGATTGCGGCGTAACATACGCAAACCTTGTTTTATGTATCGAGGCCCCATGTTTCACCAACTCCCTTCTCAGCCGACCTTTTGGTTAGCAGTTAAAGATAGCCTGAGACCGGCAACTGTACTTAAGCACGTGTGTATAGGTCTGCGTGGACAGCTGAAACCGTGAACGTTTATGCTTCGAACGCTTCTGAGAGGGGAAGGTTTTGGGTTTGTACAACTTACTAAGATGTGAGTCTGGGCTCACCGTTTGTACTGAAAGCTGACATGAGGTTTAGTTGAGGATTTGGGTGTAGAGGGCATATTGGGTTCTGTGACAGTCACTACCGGGGCTCTCTCCACGGCCCTATCTGCACACAAGCTGCTGTGTTTAACGTTTTGGATTCAGGATTTACGATTTGAGTTCTTCAGTTTCGGATTTAGGACTTATAGTAGAAGCCAGAAAGTTGGAACAGCATTCTCCTCATGCCTTTAGGTACATGATATGGGATCCTAGCACGAATCCTCCTAAAGCCATGTTCCAACTTTCTGGCTTCTACTATAAGCACTGGCTATCAGTTTATGGAGTGTGTCAGTGTGTGTGTGTGTGTGTACACATTTTGTGTGAACGGCCGGTCACTCTGAGCCCATCCTTGCCCCAAGAGCCAAATATTTGGGAGTTTCCGAAAATTAGGGGATCCTAGTATAGTACCCTAAATAGTGGGATCCTTATGAGAAGTACCCCCACATAAGGTGCCCCTAACGTTCGAAAACTCTCGAACCGTGAAGCTTCAACCTCAACGCCCTTTTCGGAATCCCATCTGCGAACCACAACCCCAGAACAAAATGGGATCAATCGGGTCGGTCCCTGTTTGGGTGCCAAGCAAAGAAAGGCACCCCGCAGCAAAACAGAATCGCACACCTGCACTCGAAACAACAAAGCACCAGCCAAGTTTAGAACAGATCTTACCACCCTGGACCGGTTTTGGGTTTAGGGCTTTTGGGTTCAGGGTCCTACAACCCTTTCGGGTTTACATAGTCCTACCATACCTGATGCCACACACTGACAACCTTTTCTTCGAAGCTCGAAATCCTAAACCCCTGAAGGCCTCCCCCAAGCCATAACCCTTAACCCGAGGCCCCAGCACAAGCCAGTTTGCATCTTATGTTGTTTGGCAATACCCTTCTTCTGCGTAGAGTCCCTAAACTCCTACCCTAAACCCTCAACCCTACACTCCTACCCTAAACCATAAGCCCGAAACCCTACACCGTAAAACCTACCCTGCACTCCTATACCAGCCTCAGCAGCCGCCCCTCGCTGTTCAGGCTCCTTGGGTTTACCTCGGGGATCTCGCATCATGGCTGCTACAGGGATATGGGAGCTTCCCAAAATGTGGGTACCTCATTTTGGGGTCGTAAAAATTTGGATCCTATTATTTTGGGTCCTATAACAAGGGTTACAAGGATGATAACGGCGACAAGGGTTATAAGGGTAAAAAGGGTTTAGGGGTTAGCATTTAGAATTTACAAGCCCTTCTTGCTTTTGTTGGGAGGTGTTAAGACTGTTTGGGAAGGGCCCTGAATAGCTAGAATAGGGATTCGGGGGCTGCATTGTGGGACTAATGGGAATACCATTAGTATGGTTGGAGAGGGGATATCATTGCTATCATGTTAAAAATGTGGGTGCGTCTTTGGAGGAAGTCGTAACCAGTAGCATGACGACGTTCTGCAGTATCGGTGTTTAGCATTCACACAAATACAACTTTCTGCAATAAGTCGAAGCCCGAAACCCCAAAATCTCATGAACATCCCTCCCAACCTCAAACAACAAACAGGTACTCTAAACACCGAGCACTCCATCGCTCTACTCTGCCGCCCCCCCCCCCACACCCTGCACCACAGAACTCTAAGGGGTCCTGAACAATTGGTGAACCCCTATAGAAGTCTGCTAAGCCCTATCAAGCACAAAAAACGCCAGGATCCCTTTCAAACCGTTTAATTAAAAAAGCCCTATAGAACTCCGCAAAGCCGTGTATAAACCCCACGAAAAGCCGGGAGTTCCACAAAGCTTTCTGAGTTCCCGAACCCTACGGTTGATGATATAAATCCTGCATTACCTTATGGACCCTAAACTATGGGAATTATGGTATATTCCTTATTATGGGTAATGCAGGATTTATCTCCCTAAACCCTAAACCCCTATAGATCCCTTAAAGGAACCCCTTAAAGGTACCCTTATAGATCCTAAACTATATCGTCAACCGTAGGCCGCGGCCTTGAACCTTAAAGCCCATGAAGCCCAAAGGGAGTCCTACTAAAACCTGTACCCCAAGTCTTCGACTCCAACCGCAAACCCCCAAATCCCAAACCCTAAAGCGTAATTAAGAAGCCTTACACAAAAGCCCCAGGAGAGTCAGACGACCTCTGAGATTCTGAGCTTAGATGCCCAGAAGTTTTGCACGATCTTGGCGGAGGGACTCTTGGTTTTCGTCGTTGGAGCTTTCATGCTTAAAGGATCATGGGGCTTAGTAACTAGGGTTCTTAAAGGGCTCCTTAAAGGGTTCTTATCGGGTTTCTTAAAGGGGTGTATGGGGTTTAGGGTTTAGGGTCTACTTAAAGGATCATGGGACTTAGTAACTAGGGTTGTAAATAAGGTAACTATACTTATAATTACTTATAACCCCAATTAGGGTACTTATAACCTTACTTACTAAGTCCCCTGATCCTCCAAGTGAGCTTCCTGATGTGTTCTTGATTTTTGGAAGGGGGGGTGGGGTTTGGGTTTAGGTTTTGGTGATAGCTTGGCCGAGGGACTCTGGGTCGCGCTTCTTTCCGACGTGGGTTGCCCGGTTTCAATGGCGAAGGACTCTGGGTTTTGTGATTTAGCTTGACAGTTCAGGATCAAGGAGTTGGACGTTTTGTGCGTTTGCTCATCTGTCGGGTTCTATCTAAGTGTTCTACCGGGTTGGGAAATCAGCAAGGGTACATGACGGGTTTGGGGTTGGGATAGGTTGTGGATGCAGCTCAGGAGGATTTAGGCTGGAGGTGACTGCAATAATGCGCAATAATGCATTCCATCTTATGTCTCCCTGTACTTGAACATGTTTGTTCTGAAACCCATTATGGAATGCATCTTTGCTACGAAGTCGAAGTTTAACATCCCTAAACTCTAAACCCAAAGCCGTCGACCTTGTCAATTCTGTCGTGTGCTTCCAGAGCCACGATCAGACATCCAACCCCAAAACCCTAAACCCTAACACCCTAAAACCCTCAAACCCTAAAGCCCTGAACCCTAAACCCCTAAACCCCTAAACCCCTAAACTCCGAAACCCTAAACCCCTAAACCCCTAAACACCTAAACCCCTAAACCTGAAGCCCTCCACACCCAGGAACAGACACCCACCGGGCTGCGAGTACCTACGCACGACGGTTCATCAAAGTGGCCCGAGATGATGAGGGTTTAGGGTTTAGGGTTTAGGGTTTTTTGAGCTTATTTCTAGGATGCCCAGTAGTACCCTTATTCCCTTTTTGTAGTCCTAGGTTCCTTTTGAAAGTTACCCAATACCAAAACGGGAGCCCTTTGTATTCCTAGGTTACTGGGCATCCCAGCCTAAATTCTGATAGCATCCCTAAACCCTAGGGTTCTTTTCAAGGGGTCTGTAAGGATTATTATAAGGACTATTATAGGGGTTACTACTGGCCCAGGTGGTGCAAAGACAAGGCGTTTATAGTGACATCCTCAAAGAGCCATATGGAGAGCTGGACTCCTTGGAAGAGGACCGGGCTGAGGATTGTAATGCAAGTCTTGTAGTTTAGGGTCTTTGGGTTTCATTGGTCTTAGGGCTGTAGGGGTTTTGGGGTTTAGGGTTTCGAGGTTTAGGGGTTCAGGGTTTTGGTTTTAGGGTCTTAGGGTTTAGGGTTTGGGGGTTTTAGGGTTTACGGTTTAGGGTCTACTCCAGCAATGGAGATGACTCTGTTGTTTGAAGATCCGTTTCAATTTCGGTTTCTGTTCAGAGAATCGCCGGGATCCTAAACCCTAAACCCTAAACCCTACCACCGAACTCTACAGGAGCCCACCTTCGACATGCTCTTGCCTGCACCCCTCAAGCGCATCCTCATGCAGCATCGCAGCTTGGCTCCCCCAGTTTTTTCCCAGAGAGCCCAATATCCTTTAATTAAGGAATATACCTTAACTCGTTAGGGGAATCATATCATGGTTTAAGCTATATTCCTATTGGGCTCTCTGGGTTCAGAGTTTGAGCATGCCGCTGCACACGCGCATGGCTCGGTCTTGTTCGATTCTTCCCGAATGGCACCAGTGAGGCCAGTGCGGTTTAGGGTCTAGGGTTTAGGGCTTAGGGTTTAGGGTTTAGGGGTTTAGGGTTTAGGGCATCAGCGGCAGCAGCAAAAGAAGAGAAGGAGCAGGAGCGGGGCTGCCCACACTGGAGGACGAGCAAGAGGAGTAGCCGTACTAGCAGTGGTAGAAGTAGAAATCGCCGTAGTTATTGTTGTCGCTGGAGTTGCATTACCCATAATAAGGAATATGCCATAACTCCCATAGCTTAGGGTCCTTCAGGTAATGCAGGATTTATATCATCAACCGTAGTTCTTGTCGCTTCCGTCGTTGTCGTCGTAGTTGTAGTCGCCGTCGTCGTCACAGGAGCTAGTTTGGTAGAGGAGCAGCAGCAGGAGCAATGATGATGGTCCATGTTGTCGTTGTGATTGTGGCAGTGGCAGACATCGATAGTTGCGATCGTAGTTTACACCACTCAGCAGCAGCAGCGGCACGATTCGCAGTGGAGTAGAACAGTAGCTACAGTGGTAGCGCCAAGTCCATGCCCAGACCGAAACTCGTCCAACCGGTTGCCCCGTACCCTATGTACGCCCTTCATCGAAGGGGAGCAGAGGAGGGCCTTGTACCTTACGCTCGCCATTAATCGAAGGAAAGTAGAGGAGGGCCATGTACTTACGTTCGCCCTTAATCGAAGGAGAGCAGGGGACGGCCATGAACCTTATGTTCGCCCTTAATTGAACCAGAGCAGAGGAGGGCCATGTACCTTATGTTCGCCCTTAATTGAAGGAGAGCAGAGGAGGCCTCCTGTACCTTATGTTCGCCCTCAATTGAAAGAGAGCAGAGGAGGGCGAGGTACTTTATGTTCTCCCGTAATTGAACGAAAGCAGAGGAGGGCCATATACCTTATGTTCGCCCTTAGTTGAAGGATAGGAGAGGAGGGCCATGAACCTTATGTTCGCTCTTAATTGATCCAGAGCAGAGGAGGGCCATGTACTTTATGTTCGCCCTTAATTGAAGGAGAGCAGAGGAGCCCTCCTGTACCTTATGTCCGCCCTTAATTGAAGGAGAGCAGAGGAGGGCCAGGTACTTTATGTTCTCCCGTAATTGAACGAGAGCAGAGGAGGGCCATGTACCTTACGTTCGCCCTTTAATGAAGGATAGTAGAGGAGGGCCATGAACCTTATGTTCGCCCTCAGTTGAAGGAGAGCAGAGGAGGGCCAGGTACTTTATGTTCTCCCTTACTTGAACGAGAGCAGAGGAGGGTCATGTACCTTGTGTTCGCCCTTAATTGGATAAGAGCAAATGAGGCTACTGTACCTTATGTTCGCCCTTAATTGAAGGAGAGCAGAGGAGGGTCATGTGCCTTATGTTCGCCCTTAACTGAACGAGAGCAGAGGAGGGCCGTGTACCTTATGTTCGGCTTTATTTGAAGGACGACAGAGGAGGCTCTTGTACCTAATGTTCGGAGGATGATGCTCAGCGGTGTGGGGAGGCCCATGTAGCTTATGTTCGCCCTTAACTGAAGGACTATATATAGAGACTACAAAGGAGGATCATGTACCTTATGTTAGCCTGTAATTGAAATTCTACGGAGGCGCGCCTTGAACCTTGAAGGAGAACAGTGGAGGGCCTTTATGTTCACCTGCAATCGAAGGATAACAGAGGTTGGCCATATAGACCTTATACTCGGAACAGGAGAGCCATGTAACTTGAAGGATGACCGAGAACGGCCATGTGCCTTATGTTCGCCATTCATTGAAGGAGGATTACGGAGAAGGGCCATGGACTCGTTCCCAACCAAGCCTGTCCTGTAAGGTCAACACCGCTTTCTAAGCTTCGAGCTCGATGCAGTCGCTCAAGATTATGTTCCGTTTGCGCACTTCGCAGTCCCGCGCCTGTGTTTACGCATGTGTTCTGTAGCGTAATGTTTTTTAATCTCAAGCAGACATTTTCACAAAATGGTCACGCCGTCTCAGTTTCATCACGCGTCCACTTCAAGTGTTAGCCTAGGGCCTAGGCGCTAGGCTGAATGACTCCCCGCTGGTTCATCGAATTTGAACTTTAAGTTAGCAGCCAAGCATGTTGTCCCCCACCCCCATACCTGTCCATGAACTTGCGCCTTTCATTCCTTGAACTTTCTTGGACGTGAACCCCGAGCCCCGAGGTCGACCCTGGCCTACGCTTGTGACGCTTGCATGAGTGCTCCTTCCACTGTGAGCTTTGGCTTGAGGCTAGTGACTCATCATCTTCACACATCAAACACAGCAAACAGAATCTACCGAGCCATGCCCCGTGCTGCGGCCGGCAAGTATCGGGTTCTGGTAAGCCCGGCCTTGCTGCAGGGCTGTGCGCGCGCTCGCCCAACGAGTCGTTGCAACAAAGGGGCAGTGGCTTGGCCGAAGAGGACATCGACCTTTCAGGTCTATCCTCGAAGGCATTGACCTTGCTGATGCAAGGGGAATATGCCGAGATGCACGTGCCAAGGCGCATCAAGAAGCATGTGAGGGCATACCTGCAGCTCAGCCACCATGCCCTAGGAGCGCGTCCTTGTCCAGAACCGGGTCTACATCTATGCAGCTGATCGAGTGGCAGGCAGTCCCATAGCAGAGGAAGGCCCAGAAGAAGACGCGGCGTCGTCTGAGGAGGTGGATTGGGGAACTGGGCGTTCTTTCCCCAGTGATCCTTCCACTGCGGACAGCATGGTAGAAGCCCCCTACCAGCCGCCGCCGGTCAAACGTGCTAGGATGCTTGGGAAGCAGCCCCAGCAAGGGCATTTGGACGAAGGCATTCGAGCCGTCATTCCGCAAACGGATGACAGCTGCCGCTTGTCGACGGAGCTGAAGTCTCCGGTTTGGTTGGTCAACTTCGGCATCCAGCGCAACAAGCCTGCCCTGCTGCGAAGCTTTCGCGACAGCGACGACCACCCCAATGCCCTCACAGCCATTGCAGGGCGAGAGACAGGTAGCGTTTACTACTCAGATCGGCCGCTCACCGGCAGCGTCTCTGCCATGTGGCTTCTTCAGGCAATTGCTGGACAAGTAAGCAGCGGTTATTCCCACCTTCAGCTCTTGCTGAGCTCTTTGGAGCGCCAAGTGCCCATGCCGCCTGGCGAGTACAACGTGGTGTACGAACCCGCTCTCCAGAACTACTACGACGTAGATCCGCAAGACGGGCAAGCTGAATCAGCTACGACTATGCCCAAGCGCTCGGCCTCCTGACAGTTTCAGAGCAACTGTCCGAGCCGGTGGTCTACAGGCCATTCCAATTTCGAGGAATGGTAAGGCTGGCAGATGGGCGCACAGCACTCGTCAAAGGGATGCTCGTCATCAACCCCGAGCTGGAGTCGTGCATGAAGATGCCGGAAAGTTGCGTGAAAGTCTGGAGTTTTTACCACTGTCCGCGTACGGTTTGGACCTCACCCACGCAACTCGGCCAATGGCGGCTCCCAAACTTACTCCTTCGGTGATGGCCATGCTGAAAGCTCGGGTCGCCTGCCACATCACCCTTCCATCTGCAAGCTTTGGAAATCTTCGATGGCCAGCTGGCAATTTGCGAACCGCAGAAGTTCGAAATACCACTCAGGCAGCCTCAGGTGTAAGCCCGGACGTTTGACGTCATCAGACCCTTCATGCAAGCCTCCAAATCATTGATCTCTTGATGATCCCAGTAGTGGTTTGGGGTTTTGAGTAGCCCAAGTAAATTTGAACTGAGTATCTGGTCAGCACCCATACCCTAAACCCACAATCTGTAGAAAGCCACAGCGCGTTCCTTAGTCCCCAAAGCCTAAAGTCTAAAGCCATCAAAAACCCCCATGCCTGACACAACCCCACGCCTGAAAACCCCGAACACTAAAACTTCATAGCGCGGAGGCCAAAACCCTGCTCCCCCCCCTTCCACGAAACGAGCCCTACACCCTAGACCCTGAACCCTCGACCCATGAACCCTAAATCAGACTTTTTCTTCCAAGGTGTGAGTCATGGCCAAGTTCGTCCTGTCGACGAATGATTACATACCCCTGTTTGAGCCAGGAATGTCCCTTTGCCTCAGGGTCCAAAGGACCCAAGAAGTAGGTAATTATGAAGCGGTTCTTATACCCACGACCTATCAAAGCGTTATTAGTGAATTCATAGGGTCATATCGGGGTTCTCAGGGTCTACATTACCCAATAGTTCGGCACCTGGGGTCAGAATAGCTTCGCAGTGCTGTAGGTTAGTACGTAGGAGGGTATATGACCTAATTAGAGTCCATGTACCCAAACAGTATAATATAGTTTGGCCTGAAAGTAGTCCCGATATATGTACTTTGGGGTCCATTCAAATACTACGTGTTTGGGCACATGGACCCTTAGGGCGATGATTAGGCACTGTGACTTTTAGGCTCAGGAGGCTCCCAGTAAGGATTTGACGCATCGATAAACAGGGGGTACCCATGTTAAAGGGCCAAACCCCAAACCTTAGGTTTTTTGCAGTTTCATATGCAAGCTTCAGAAAATTAGGGGTACCTTATTTGGGGCTCCTTGTAATAAGGATCCTACTATTTTGGGTACTGTATTTAATTGGGTTCCCTATTTTGGGAAACTCCCATATAACAATTTCCGATATGCATTTCATAGAGGCCATAGGTGAGGGTAAGGTCATGTAAGGTAAGGTAAGGGCCGCTATGGGTTTTCGTTTTACAAAGGACAATCCCTGGTGTGCTTTGGACCCAGATTCTAATAGGCGTCGCTGCAACGGTGGTGGTATGTGTGCAACGAGCTCCCGCGACCAAACTACCCAAAAAGAAATCCCTAAAGCCTTCATCCTGAAGCGCTAGAAGTGGCAATCATGTGAAGGGGACTGCCAGGTCTGATAGAGTCTTCAGCTAGTGTAGAGGCCTTAACAAGTACCTATAGTATTGTGAGGGTTCCTTATTCTAGTTATAGCATAATGGGCCGCAAAACCTTATTCTAGTTATAAAAGCCCCCATATTAGGCGATAAGCATGCCTCCGGGTTTAGCAGAGTCCTTGTTCCCGTACAAGGAATTTCGAAAGTCGCTTGCATGTGCGATTTCAAGTTGATTTATTCCAACTATAGAAGACTTCAGTATGACTGGGCTATGGCGCCTGCTTTCGCCGTTGCTTGCTTGATCATAGTCAACGACGCCCAAGAATCTGAGGTCTCGCTGTTTCGTGCACCTTCCCTAGAAATCTAAGGACTCACATATTCAGGCTTTTGGGGCCCCAAGACCATACTATATAATTAACGTTTTGTTGCGATTTCGATTCCTCGGGCCAGCTGCACCTAAACCCGGGGAAGTTCGTGTTTTTGATGGATTGCTGGCAGGTGCGGTCAGGTGGACTACAGCCCGACATGGTGTTGCGCCGCTTACCGGCCTTTTCCGGGGCTCATTGCAAGGAACGTTTTTCTGCAGACATCGGACATTTGAGGCCCAGGAGTTCCTGGAGAAATGCTTCTTTATAGACTCAGGGTTTAGGTTTAGGAGTTCCTTGAAAAAGGGTTGTTTATGGATTGACCCTCAGGGACCCTTCTGATTTGGGTACTTGCGTCCCTTAGACCGGTTCACTAGCTATGTATCAGGTTCGAAGTATGGGCCCTTAATATGCACCCTTAGGCCTTTCTGAGGGAGTACTAGGCACCCATAAGAGTCTATATAGGGTATGTAGTAGGTATTTAGGTATCCCAGCATTAAGGGCCCATACCGGGGGGGCCCATGGTTTCAACCGTTGACTAGAGGGACCTGAATACCAAGTACTTAGGAGCTGAGTAGGCAACCATTAGCCTTTGGGGCTCACTTCATCCTAAGATTGCTAAAAGTTTAGCCTGCTTTAGGCTAGGGTACTCAGCAAGTAAGAGTAGCACCATTCTCCAGGGATGCCACATAGAATTATAAGATGTTCGACTCAACAGGCCGCTGAGGGTCTGGAATACTTGAAGCTTCATGAAGCTTCATGAGCACTGTTGCGAGGTCTTTTGCTGCATCCACAAGTGTCCAAGTACCCAATAATCATATACTCTCCAAAATCCTAACCTACGTAACTATTATCCGTAACCTAAGTACCTAACTACTTGGTCCTTTGGACCCTTGAGCCCTAAATCCTAAACCGCTAAACCCTTTAACCGTAACTGCCCAAAGGGTCCTATGTACCGATATAGTAGAATGTAGGGTTTCCATATTAGGAATTACTACTATGGCTTAGGGGAGTATCCCCCATAACAGTACCTTTGGAATATTGGGTCCAGAAAGTAGATCCCTTAATGGGGGTTCCTATAGAGTACCCTTAGTAGTATAGGACCCCAAAGTAGGGGATCTACTTGCTAGATCCTTTCGGGCGTCTGGGTATTGGGTCCTGTGAACCCTTACTTGAAGGCTCATGGGACTTAGTAAGTGGGGTTATAAGTAGGTTATAATAAGGATAACCCCACTTAGGGGACTTATAACCCAATTATAACCTACTCACTAAGCCCCATGATCCCCTACTTGGAGGGTCGGGGGACTTGGTAAGTAGGTAGGAAGTAGACTTATAAGTACCCTAAAAGGGACCCTAATTGGGGTTATGGTACGTATAAGTCCTCAAAATACCCAGTTACTAAGTCCCCCGACCCTCCAAGTAAGTAGGGCATGAATTTTCGGGCCAAAGCACCGCGAGCCACGACTGCCATGGCCATAGCTGTATTCGTGCCGGTTCTGCTTGAATTATTGGCTGGTGAGCTCAGCTTTTCAACTTTTGGGGTTCTTATAAGGCAGTCGATTCTGAAAAGTTTCAAATTTCAAAAGCTGTAAACTCAACGTTTCATTTTTTGTGATTTTATAATGCAGTCGATTCTGAAAGTTTCAACTTTTCTTTCGTTGGGTTTTGGGCCAGGGAGTTGAGCATGTTTCTCCAAGTAAGGGATGAACCTAAACCCCCGAACCCTGCCTGAACGCCAGAGAGCCTACCTCTCGAGGATGTTTATACGAAGTGGATAAAGGAGCCTGCAGGATTGTACATTACCCTAGGGGTCCATGTACTCATATAGTATATACATTGGCCTTAAAGTACTCCCTATATAGGTACATTGGGCCCAAAGTATATGGTATGTGGTACGTGGACCCTTAGGGTAAATAATCTCCGGTGGATCCTTGTCATAATTGTAGTATAATGGGCCCCAAAACCGTATTCTAAGTAGTACGGCCCCTATAGTATACGTATAGGATTAGGGCCCTCTGGGTTGGAATCCTTACAGTTCGGGTGGCATTGCAGGGCAAGTCGAGGCTGTCACTGCCCTAAACCAGGGCTCACGATCTGCCAGCGTAAGGCTACAAATAGCAGCTACCCAGACCCATAAAAGTAGGTGAAATAATGGCCCAAAACCTATAAAGGCCTATTCTTCTACATTCTTTTGGGGTCAAGGTAGGGTTCAGGCTTGGCTCAAAATCCGCAAGCTCGCTGCGGTTAGTTTCGGATTTGGATTCAAGCCTGGGCGTGGCAAGGTTTGGCTCTTTCAGCGGTAGGCTTCGTGCTCGGTACGAATATTCATTCGTATGCTTACATCTGTGAAATCACAACGCACACATGCATAGACACACATCATCTCTGTATGCCATTTCTTCATGCAGTCTGCCAATCAGGCAGACAGTCAGTGTATGCATGTATGTGCGTATGCATGTATGTATGTATGCATGTATGTATGTATGTATACAGCGGTGAATGTATGAAAGAGGTAGATACATACACAGACTGTACACCGGTAGATCTTCAGTTTGCAGTCAAGTGCCCAGCCTCCATACCAAGACATGGACAGGCAACCACTATGGGCTATTAGACCTTATGGGTACCTAATCTACCCTTAATAGGGTCCGAATAGGGATCTTTAGGGTCTAATAGCCCATAGTGGCAATGAATGCGAACTCAAACACAGAGGCGCACGCAGATAGACAGAGAGGCACGCGCCCGCAGTCATAGACACGTACATACTGCAACATACTAGTCAAATGCCGTGAAGTAAAACCTAAACTCCAATAACCCTTCAGCCCTAAAACTCTAAACCCTAAAACCGCGAAGCCCTGAAACCCTAAAGCCCAAAACCCTGAGAACCCTAAACCCGCAGTGGGGACTCTTGGAACTCTGGCTGGCCGAACGAGGGTCCAAGTGCCCTCCATTCTGGGGCCATTGGGTCGGTTCGAATAGGTGAGGAAAACTTGGACCCTGATGTACTTAAGATCTCCGGTCGAGCCAGATCGTGCTCCCTTCCAGCCAGGGTAGCTGGGTGCCTAAATCCTATAAATCTTAGACCCTAAACCCTCTTATGTATCAGGGTGTGGAGTTCAGGGTTAGGGGTCTCGGGCCGCCGTGCATTACCGATGTTGCCGGTTTTTGTGTTGAGCCACAGCACCTAGAGAATCCAAAACCCCTTAATTAAGGAACATGCCTTAAGTCATATGAGGGATCCGATTACAATTTAAGGTATATTCCTGATTAAGGGGTTTTGAAGTTTCTGGGCAACTCGAGAACGTGTATATGCTTACAGTAACTAACCATTAACCCACAACGTCAGTTCCTAAACCAAAACGGTACCCCCAGATGTTGACCCAAACTGCCGGTGGTACTACAGGGGCCTAAATAATTACCAATACTATTTTAGGTGTTCTTTATTCTTCTTACAGTATAATGGGCCCCAAACCACATTCCAATTAATTACTAAGGCGCTTATGTTACATGATTGGCTGATGCCCAGGAATGGGGAGGTTCGAGTGGTTCCCGCTTTGGTGGTTGGGGGTGCTGCAACACGAAAGGCAGCTAATATTTACACACATCAGGCATGCTGAATTCATACACCTTTGCATATGTACATATGTGCTTGGGACGCTTTAGGGGTTTATGGACAGCTAGGATGACCAGTAGTACCCTTATGCCCTTTTTATAGTCCTAGGTTCCTTTTAAAGTTATCCAATACCAAAAAGGGAGCCCTTTGTATTCCTAGGTTAACGGGCATGCTAGACAGTTTGAGGTGAAGTAATCCAACCG